CTGCTCCTGCTACTACTACTGCTACTGCTGTTGCTACTTAGTGACACCGCCTCTACTGATCGTCATGATGTTTCAGATCTTAGCAATGCACCAAAGCGCAGCATGATAATGGCAATGGTTTCAGGCAGCGACAGGACTCCTAGCGCAACCCTGGAGTGAAAAGCCAAAACCCCAAAACCCTAAACCCAAACCCCTAAAACCTGAACCCTAAACCCTGCAAAACTGAGGCTTTCCGACGTGTGCTCGAACTCTACAAGACCGGCTTCGCAGAGCCCCTGCCCGTCGGTGAGCCGCCGTCCATCGAGCGACCGGGCCGTGAAACCTGTTCTGTTTCTGTTGTGAAATGTGGAGTTGTGTAGAGTTTTGAAATAGGGTGTTCTCGGTGTTTGTGGGCTTTACTGGTTTGTTGATGAGTTTGTAAAAGGGTGTGTTTCAAGATTTTCGCGGGTGCATAGTTTCCACTTGCGGCGATAAGCTCCAAAGTCCTCCGGGCCCTAACCCAACAAGCAAGGAAACCCGCCTAGGTCTGGAGTCAGGCTTCAAGGGTTGACGGTTTAGGGTTGCGGATTTGCTGCAAGAAATGCGGCCTTTCGGCGTTTAAAGGCATGCAGAACTCCGGCATGAAGGAACTCTCGTTAGATGATATCGGGGTTCTTTGACGGACGGCTCCCTGCTCACCAATGTTGTAACAAACATTTTGTCCCGGAGGCCTCAGACGCAGACGCTTCTATCTTTCCAACCGCTGCTCGCGATGTAATATCACCGCAGGAAGGCAAGCCCCAAACACTTAGCCTTAAACCCAGAGCAAGCTCCAAAGTCTCCATATACCATCGAACTTTGAGCCTTTGATCCATAAATGTTGCAGCCGTGGCCCAGCCTTGAAATTCAACCCGAAACCCGTAAATTTCAAGCCGCGGCGGCCCAGGCGACAAATGCTGCTGTCCCGATGCAGATCCTGTGAAGCTTGACGTGTAAGCGCACAGGCTGCGGCTTCCAGCGCGCAAGATTGGGCTTCATGTTCTTTTTGATTTATTTTTCATGTTGGGGCTGTTAGTCTGTTAGTCCTATTTACTTATGTACTTGTCTGCTAGTGTTCAGGTCGTTGGTCCTACTTGCTCTGGCCTTTGCTTCTACTCTTCGTCTGCATTTTTTGAGAGTTGTTTTGTTTGTGCTTTGTTCCTTTGTGTGCCGTTGTTTATAATTCCAGTGTTCGCATATAGTATGAGTCTCAGTATTAGTACAGAATTAGAATCCGTTGTCTAGTGTTAGTATCATAGTTTTCTTACAGCACGGATATATGAGCAGCTATCAGCATCAGGGTTAGTAGTAGCATCAGTATTGGTATTTGGGTATTTAATTCTTGCTCGCCTTCGCATGCATAGTCCTATCATGACCAGTAGTAAGTAATAATCCAAGCTGACTTGTTTTAGCTACAATGACTTCTGTGTTTAGAGTCCAAGTTCCCTTATCCAAGTTCTTGTGTTCGTTTCTTGCACATATTTCAGCTGATATCTGGTTAAGGTCGTCAGGCCAACTGAGAGCTCCCAGATAAGTTCGCAAGTGCCACGCTTGCTGAGGATATGGTCCGACGCTGAAGCCAAGTGTACGGAGCCACAGGCATGCATCTATTCGTGCTGTCCGGGTGGGACGAGATACTGTGATGGCAGCTGCTGCACCGGGGCTTGTGGGCTTGTCGCAGGCAGCCTGAAGCTTCATTGTTGCGTCAAGGAGGGCAACGGTGACTGCTGCGCCGACCACCGCTCTGGCACCCACTGCCAGACCGGCCGGGCATGCTGCTTGGAGAGCCTGGACCCGAAGTGCCTGCAGTTGCCAGGTAGCACGTGCCCGAAACCGCCCCAGCCAGACACGGTCCTCATCGTCACTGTCGTCGTCTTGGTCCTATTTGCGGTGCTGGTGGCCTCCCTGGCTTTGGCCAAGCGCTGCTTCTGGCGCACAGCTCGGCAAGCGCGACTCCCCTCGGAGTTGTCTTTGCCCATGCGCGGAAACGGCCGGCAGGAGCCAGAGCCGCCAGAGCCGTCAGAGCCGTCAGAGTCAGAGGCTACTCAGACGACGAGTAGCAGCGGTGGGCCGTGCGTCCGCTGCAACTCCGTAAATCCTGGTCTGTTGGTCCATTGCGGCATCCCCTGCCGAAATCATGCGCAGCGCAGGGCCATCTGCCATCGTTGCTTTGTGCAGAATGACCGTTGCAGCCGATGCCGGGAAAGAATGATGGTTAACGAGGTTCTGCACAACGATGCAGCAAGTACGACGACTTCGAGTCTTTCGTAATTACTTGCACGGGAGACATAATTTGGCATGCTCCGCTTGCAAGGCACAGTTCCGAACCAGAGTCTTCCCCACCTGGAACCCATGGAATCAGCCGTTGAACCTGGCCAGAACCCCTGAGCACTATATGCCCGAAAGGTTGGATCTGCCTGCCAGTTCTGGTTCGTCACTGCCAAATCCATGTCTCGCTGCAAATCAACGGGGTCGAACATGTTCGCTGTCTTCTGGTGTTTCCAAGGCCACTTTGGATGTCTGATCATCGCAGTATTCACCATATAGAAGCCCCGAAATCCTTTTTGTTTCAGACCCGTGTCTGAGGAGTGTTGGAAGAATGCGGGACTGTCTTCTACGTAAGCGTTGATGGACACCGGCTCATAAAGCAAAAGTTCTTGTTTTGTTGATCCGTTATCATGTGTCTTGATGTTCCAGCAGTTAGTATGACTGCCATTCTACTGAAGTCTCTCCGGAGGCTCCTTGTTTCACCAGCCGTACTTTGTACATAGCACTGGTGGAAAGCTCGGTGTTCTGAAGGTCCTAAGCCCGAAGCCTCAGACCGCAACCCTGAATGCCTAGCGCTACCAGCAAAAATCTATATAACCCTCAGATTTCAAGCCCTAAAATCACTAATGTTCTGCAATCCTCTTCAAGCTGAAAATAGTGACGTGGAAGTTTTGCAAGCACATATAGTTCGCAGTGTGGCAAACACGAGCTTTTCAGGATGTGGGGCGTTTAGGATTTTGTGTTTTCGGTTGTTTATTTCACGTTTTTTGTTGTTCGTATCCTAGCGAGGTACAGGACTCGATCTTGCCTTGCTCAATCGCCCTGGTCTGCGCTCAAACCCTGCAAGCCGGTCGCGTGCAAAGAAGTGCAGCCGGACGGACACACTTCCACTCCCGAACGCCCAGCCTCCATCCTAAACCCCAGCTTCCCAAAGCAACCCTTGTCTCGAAAGCTCGAAAGTAGCAGTGGGGTGGTAGCTCGTAAAATTTGCGGTGTCTGCCGGTCCTGACCTGCCGTAGGTGCAACGAGGCCAGGGAACTCTGCAACTAGATAAACCCTGGCCACGACAGCCCCAAAGCCCCAATACTAGAAGCCCTAAGACGTGATTGAAGGTCCTCGAAATCCTTCAGCTCAGTGTCGACGCTTTCATGCTGCTGCGCCGGCATCTTTTGTCCCAGGGCATGTTCGGTTTGACAGGGTGGTTTGTTCAGCTTCCTGAGAAGTTGAGGGACATGTCATGTAAGCCTGTTGCTGTGGGCATTTGGTGGTGCGGACATGAGAGCTTATTCTTCTCCTCGGGACGTGGCATGGGACCGCACCTTGGGACTGGCTGAAGCATAGGCTGTGCTCATCCGGCAGTGACGTCTCTACTAAGTCGGGGCGGGGGAGTGTTTTGAGGAATTGATTGAAGTCACGTGTCGTGGTGTCTTCCGGCACCATAGTAACATTTGCCCACACCAGCAGGCGTCGTAGTGGTGGTGGTCGAAGTAGCATAATATAGGGGCCTTAATAATTAGCATAAGGTTTCAGCGTCTATAGTAGTACAATTATAATAAGGAGCCCCCGTACATCAGCAGCCGGGGAAATAATGTAGGGGCCTTAATAATTAGAATGGGGTTTGGGGGTATCTTATACAATAATTAAAGTAAGGAGCCCCCCAAAACCTTATTCTAATTCTTACGGCCCCTACATTAGCAGCCGTTGCAATAATGTAGGGGCCTTAGTAATTGGAATGGGGTTTGGGGGTATCTTATACCATAATTATAGTAAGGAACCCCCCAAGACCCTATTCGAATTCTTACGGCCCCTACATTAGCAGCCGTGGGGGCCTTTATAAGTAGAATTGGGTTTGGGGGTATCTGAAAACATCATTCATATAATAAGGAGCCCCTAAAACCCTATTCTAATTATAACGGCCCCTACGTTAGCAGTCGGAGTGAGTAGGAGCCCTCAACTCCTTTCATCCCCGATCTCCCGAAGCCGGAGCTTGGAAGAATCCAGGAGCCTTAGCAGCCCTCGGCCCTAGGGAACCTACAGGCCCGTTCTAAGGACCCAAGAGCCTCGCCCTGAGCCCTGAACACTCTGCACCTCAAATCTGACATCTTTTTTTTTTTCCACATCTTGCATTACTAATCGTTACTAATCGCAAGCCTGAAAAGCACTGGAAACTAGAAGAACCTAAAACCCTCCAACCTTTGCAAAGTGTAAACCCTAAACCGCCCTAAACCTTGAAGATACCCCGAGACCCTTGACAGCCTTGATCCATGATGCCCCACCCGCGCCAGGCATGAAGGGACCATGCGACCGGTCTTCAACGCGTGACCTCCAGGGTCCTGAATGGGCTCTCGGGTTTAGAGTTTCGACAGGCGTGAAAGAGGTTTGGAAGCGTCCAGTCCCACGGTTTATAGAGGGTTTCATGAGGGTTTTCATGGGAAAATGCACATCGGTCAAAGCTCCGGGCTTACCGCTTGAGGGTCTCGCGAAGCGGGAAGCCCTCATCCCTTAATTCACTTAGTTCTACTCACCAATCCTTTATGCTTTGAGCCTTTATCCCTGCACGTTGAACACTAGCTCTTCTTATTGTCTAACGCTAAAACTCAAAGACCAGAGAAGAAACTCTTCACGCTGCTATGGGGCTGAAGCGTGTGGTTATCGCAGAAGCACAAGGTGCATGGCTAAAGCGAGATGTAACCTCCCTTCTCTGAAGCCGAGATTCCGAGAGAAAATTCCCCAGATATCAGATGCCCTTGGAACCCAGATCTGCCAATGCCAGAGCCCTAACTTCTCTGCAAGCTCTAAACCCCCTGACAAACTGAACCTTTCCAATTCAAGTCCCCAGCAGGACCCCGACCCCCCAAACCCGAAACTGGAGGTACAAGCGCTTGAGACAGGAAGGCTACCAGTTCCCTCGGTCATCCACTGGCGTGGCCGCGCGGACCCCAGTAGCTCCTAAACCCTGAGCCAAAAAACAAAAAAGCCTAAACTCTAAAACTGCTGTAGAGCTCCTGGGCCTGACCAAAGCCCTAGTTTGGGATTTGCGGCTTGGGGCTTTCGGCATTTTAGCGAGGCAACTCTGGGCCTCCAAACAAACTCATCATATCGCGAGCTTCTGCAGGTTTCGGGGGTGGGGACTTTTTGTTTAAGGTTTAAGTTCGGGTGAGTGCTTGGGAGATTTACGGTGTAGGGTGCATGCCCCACGAAAATGCCAAGAAACGATAGAAGAGAATACCAACAGACCTGGCAAACCTTAACAGCCAGAATCACCGAAACTTGCAAAGCACACGAAGCTTTAACGCCATAACCACCTGCATAAAAGAATTGAAAAGCCTCTGCTCAGCGCGAGTAACGCCCCTTAGGCTACTCTGCACCGCAAACCCCAACATCTTTGGAAATCCTACCCCCAAACCCTTAAATGCATGTTAAGACAGCTGAAATGCTCCAAACTCTAGAGTCATCGACATCCTAACCCCAAGGCCGCAGAAGCCCTACATTGTCCTTCCTGTCCCTTACAAGCCCTGCAAAAAACGCAACATATCACTGCATAAGACCCCAGGAACTTCAAGGATGTTTCTGAACACACGCAACTGCCCTATCAACGACATGTAATGCCATGGTAATTCAATCAAACGCGATTCCCAGTTTAACCTAAACAGGCCAATCTCTGCCTCGTGAACGGTGCGGAAAGCAGTTGCGGCCTCAGAAATAGGGTTCCTTGTTATTTTGTTCCTTAGACGAAAACAGAGGTTTTGAAGGAGTTTAAGGAGTTGTTGATGCTTCTGGAGGGTTTTCAGAGGTTGTTGAGGTGCTTCGCGGTGGGAGGTTCAGAGGTTTCAGTCGTTTTCAGGCATTTGGGTGGGGTTGAGGGTTTCAGGGTCTATGTGAGTAGGTGACCTTTAACGTTTCTGGTACTAGTATTGGTACGAGTAAACTAGAGCTGTTAGTACTAGTATTACGATCAGTATTACTTACTAACACACACTGTTATCACTATTGCTTTTACTATTACCATCACCATCACCATCACTATCACTATTACCAGTACCATTACTATTACTATCGTTCTTACTGTTACTATGGTTATTACTAGTACGAATACTCTTACTGTTGCCATCGCCACTACCATTACTAATACTATTGCTATGACTATGCCCATGACTATGACTTTGACAAACTGCCACCTCTACTGCTGCTGCTGCTACTGCTACTGCTACCGCTACTACTGCTGATACTGCTACTACTAC